TCACCCCCCCCACTCCCCCTCCCTCCTCCTGCTCTCCCCTCCTACTTCTCCTGTCTGCTGATCCTGATCGGCGTCTCTTCTTCTTCCCGCTTTTCCCCCTGCGGGCATTTTATTCTCCTTTTTCCGTTCTTTTTGGAAGGTAGGGTGGCCGGGCGGGGCGGGGGGGAGTGGGCATGGTGCGCTTCTCCTCTCCCTTCCTCCTTGTCCTCCTCGTCGTTCTTGGCTGCGCGTCATTCTGGTACCTTGGCTGCCCGCCGCCTCCTCCTCCTCCTTTTCCTCATCGTCTTCATGATGTCATGTTGATGATGGAAAAGAAGCGTGGGCCTGGGATAAGAATGACAGGTGGATGTATTGCCAAAAAAACAGATTAACAGATATAAGCATGCACGACGAGAGATTGTCAGATGTCTTCCCGACGAACATTTGAAATATTTGTCAGATGTGTAAGAAGAAGATTTGGATGAAACATGTCGAAGAAAGATGCAGAAGAAGATTCGGACGGTAGATTTGGACGTACTATTTGGAAGATTCGGAGGAAGATTCTCGGGAAGATTCTCGGGAAGATAGGAAGATTCGGAGGAAGACTCGGAGGAAGATTCTCAGGAAGATTCGGGGGAAGATTCTCAGGAAGACGATTTGGAATGAAAGAAGAAGATTTGGAAGAAGAAGATTGGGAAGAATAGTGGAAACAGTGGCCAACTGCCTTTCGTACACGTTTAGATAATCTTCATTACATAGCCGCGCATACTAATCTCAGCTCACGCGCACATTCCCCGACGCGTTTCGATCGGCTGCGCCCCAATCATCCTCAGGGGGCTAACCACATACCCCAGCCTTTCGGCTCACGGAGCTTACCTCCCTTCATACTGAGCATGCGATTGGGAAGAAGAAGATTGGGAAGAAGAAGATTTTGAAGATTTGGGAGAAGGTGGGGATGGAAGGTTCGGATGAAGATGGAGGAAGATTGGAGTGAGGATTCTGACGAAGATTCGGATGAAGATTCCGGTAAAGGTCCAGGTGAAGACGATTTGAAGAAAGAAGATTTGGAAGAAGAAAGCAGAAGATTGGGAAGAAGAAGAAGATTCGGAGAAGACTCGAAAGATTGGGAAAAATATTTGAAAGATTTGGAAGATTTGGAAGATTTGGACAGAGGGAGGGGCGAGGAAGAGGAAGGGCGCGCAACAGAGCGCAAGAGCCAGCAATCCAAGCGGTTGATTTTGGCGGTGCGTGGAGAAAGACGAGGGGAGGGGAGGGGAAGGGAGGGGAGGGAAGGGGAGGGAAGGAAATTGGAAAAGACGGGAAGATCTGTCGAATGTTGTCGAATTGGAAAAAAAAAGCGGGTAATTATAAAGAAGTTTCCCGCCTTGTTGCGCTGGCGGGAAAGGAGAAATGAAGCAAGCTATCAGGAACGATAGGGCGGCAAAGCTTGTTTGCTCGTTAGGGCTTGGGTGTTTTTTTTTTTTTTTTGTAATTCTTATGCAATGGATTATTATTAAAGCAGAAAATAAATAATTTTGCGTAAAACGAGAGGGACGGTGATCAACACGAACCGCAATTGTCATGCAATCTATGATATAGGGCAATAAGGTACAGTGAAAAAAAACAGAGAAAAAGGTAGAGTAATATCGAGAGTTTGACGATGGCGATGGCGATGGCGATGACGATGATAATGACGGTCATGATGATAATAATGATGCGTGGGAGTAGCAGTTGGGTGGGTTAATAGAGCAATAGCGGTGGGTAGTTGAAGAACGGCAGCAGAAGGAGGAGGAGGAGGAGGAGGAGGAGGAGGAG